AGGTACATCACAGCGATACGGTGAAGCTACATCACAGCGATACGACCAGCCACATCACAGCGATACGTCAGATACGTGCAGCTACATCACAGCAATACGTGCAGGTACATCACAGCGATACGACCAGCCACACCACAGCGATACGACCAGCCACATCACAGCGATACGTCAGATACGTGCAGCTACATCACAGCAATACATGCAGCTACATCACAGCGATACGACCAGCCACATCACAGCGATATGACCAGCCACACCACAGCGATACGATCAGCTACATCACAGCGATAGTGCAGCCACACCACAGCGATACGATCAGCTACATCACAGCGATAGTGCAGCCACATCACAGCGATACGTCAGATACGTGCAGCTACATCACAGCAATACATGCAGCTACATCACAGCGATACATGCAGCTACATCACAGCGATACGTCAGATACGTGCAGGTACATCACAGCGATACGACCAGCCACACCACAGCGATACGTCAGATACGTGCAGGTACATCACAGCAATACGATCAGCTACATCACAGCGAGAGTGCAGCCACACCACAGCGATACGATCAGCTACATCACAGCGATAGTGCAGCCACATCACAGCGATACGTCAGATACGTGCAGCTACATCACAGCAATACATGCAGCTACATCACAGCGATACATGCAGCTACATCACAGCGATACGTCAGATACGTGCAGGTACATCACAGCGATACGTCCAGCCACACCACAGCGATACGTCAGATACGTGAAGCTACATCACAGCGATACGTGCAGCTACATCACAGCGATACGTGCAGCTACATCACAGCGATTATACGTGCCTTTTATCAGAAACAGAGTTTATTAGACGCCCGCCATGTGAAAACATGTGCATTTATATGCACCGATAAGTCAGCATGATATGCAATATATAACAGAGACAGTTTCAGCGTTGTATGATATACCGGTATAACATCTCATGTACACGGGTTTATGGAATCAAAATAAAAAGCTTGATTTTGAGTATAGCTATTTTTGTCCACGGCGCGCTGTTATATACAAATGCCATGGCTTGCCCCACTTCTAAAGTGCTCTAGAGTTGCAAACGAGTAAAATATGTCAATGATATCGTTCTCAGTCGCTAAAAAAATGCATGTACAACCGTGTTCAGTAAATATCAAACAATGTTCCATAACTCGAAACGATTGTTCATCACACAATCAATACAAGATGCATTAAGCGGCCACTTGATGCATGATACTATTATAGTATTCCAAAAAAAGTGAATTTCAAACCATTTGACATATGATTTTATTGACCGAAACACATCTCCACAAATCAAAATAATTGAAAAATTACCGGAGCTATTTAACCGGGTTTGTTGGTAAGAGAAACCGGATGTCTATTAATGAGTGAGGGAAACCAGGAGAGGGGTAAGGGAAACCAAAAGTCGTTTAGTGGACAAGGGAAACCGGAAGTTGGTTAGTGGTATTAATGTGGCTATATAGAGACGTCCAGCCAATACGTAGTGGTTAATCATGGCACATAGTGCTATCACAGCATATACTCCATAGATCATAACGCTATTGCTGACCTACATACATGAAGCTTTGCTCAATAAACCATTCTCTGTTGACTGCTAGTGCGAGATCACGCGTTATAGGTAAAAAAAACAGGACAAATAAAGGTCATAGCATCGTAGTGGCCTCCGAACATAGCCTGGGGTTAGTCACACGCGAAAATATTTTGTGTATATCCCTGCTTAAAGGAGGTAGTCGTCGCGCCGCGCATGCGCGAGGTATGGGTCTCGTATAAAAAAGATGGCGATTTTGAATGTAGCACACACCACGGTCATTCAACTAGTATAATAAAATCGTGATTTTATTATAAAAGCGCATTGGATTGTGGGAAAATCAATTTTGATCAACACAAATGTCGCACACTTTATGTGTGGCGCGATGACTACCGCACTTTAATATTGTGCTATGCACATTTGATAGTGATTAATGTCGATGAAGTAAGGGTATCCCGACGTAATATTCCCCTCTCAAAGATCACCATTACGGAGCTATACAACAGTAAACATAAACTCAAAATCAAATCGTTTGGCTTCCGAACATAGCCTGCGGTAGTCGTCGTGCCGAACATGCGCGAGATGTGGGTCTCATATAAAAAAAGATGGCGATTTTGAATGTAGCATACACAACGGTCATTCAACTAGTACAAACTGAGAGCTTACTGAGCTTTAATTAAGTATTTTGTTTTGGTGTTTGGAAGGTATCGAAGGAGTCACCGGCGATATTTAGTGCAAGTGGCGCCAAGGACAAAAATCGTGATTTTATTATAAAAGCGCATTGGATTGTGGGAAAATCAATGTTTATCAACACAAATGTCTCACACTTCGTGTGTGGCGCGACGACTACCACCCTTTAATGTCGATGAAGTAAGGGTATCCCGATGTAATATTCCCGCTCAAAGATTACCATTGCGAAGCTATAAACAAAGAAACATAAACTCAACATCAAATCATTCGATCTTTGTGACAGGTGTTTGGTCCATGGCTTTCATGCATTATGCGAGATCTCGAGGTGAATGGAAAATGGTCTACTGCCGGTCCACATCCATGGAGCGTGGCGCTATAGTGCATTCTCCTTAACAGAGGTCCTTGCAGCCAGAACATCGAAAGTATATATTTTGAAGAAATAGAACTCTGGATGGTAGACTGGCTATATCCGATTACGTTCATGAAACTTGGTTCTATCGTCGGCCTAATTCCATGAAGCGCGGCGCCATTGCTGGACCAGATTAATGGACCGTAGCACTATTGTCGGCCTATATCCATGGAGCAATGGCATTATTGCCGGCCTAGAACTATGGAGTGTGGTACTATTGACGAACTACATCCATGGAGCGTGGCTCTATTGCCGGCCTTTATCCATAAAGTGTGGTACTATTGATGGACTACATCCATGGAACGTGGCTCTATTGCCGGCCATTATCCATGGCGTATGGTATATTGACGGACTACATCCATGGAGCGTGGCTCTATTGCCGGCCTTTATCCATGAAGTGTGATACTATTGACAGGCTACATCCATGGAGCCTGGCTCTATTTTCGGCCTTTATCCATGAAGTGTGGTACTATTGACAGACTACATCATGGAGCGTGGCTCTATTGCCGGCCTTTATCCATGGAGTGTGGTACTATTGACGGACTGCATCCATGGAGCGTGGCTCTATTGCCGGCCTTTATCCATGGAGCGTGGTACTATTGACGGACTACATCCATGGAGCGT